ACACACACACACACACACACACACACACACACACACACACACACACACCACATATATATATATATAAAACAGTAAAATGTAAAAAAATATATACTTTAAATAAAATTCTCCTTTTTGAATTATATTGGTGCACTTTAAGTGTATTTTTTATTTCATAGTCAATTTATATATTTCCGCTTTTATTTTTAATTATGTCAGTTTTGGTCCTCCATACTGCTAAAGCCTGATAATCACCCATTCATTCAAATCAGGTGTGTTTTGATCAGAGAAAAAAATAAAACATGCAGGGCTGCGGCCCTTGAGGACCAGGATTGCCCACCCCTGTATTAGAGACTTAGACTTGACTTGGACTAGGACCCTAAAGACTTGAGACTTGACTTGGACTTGTGGTTTGAGACTTGCGAACAATGCAAGTCTTTTCACTGCCCGGCTCACGATTCTCACTCCCTCAGTACACCTCCATGCTCCGCTCCTTTGAGAACAAATACATAAAGTTTTAAGAGTGAAGACGTTTACTTCCTGCTCTCAAARTGAAAATATTCGCTCTTGATTAAAGTCAGAATAGTTCTTCCATACACTCCGCCCCCCCTCACCTGAGAATGGGAGGGGCCAGCGTCGTCTAATGTTAATGACGTGTACCCTACGTGACAAACAGAGCTTCAGCATGGCAGGTGTGCTGCAGTATGTTCGTTATAAGCTTTGCTGACAGAGACTTTATTCAACACCATGACAAGAGACTGACAAAATGTAAAGGGTCTGGAGTCCAAATCCAAAACTTGTTTTTGTGATGACTTGTGCAGTCTTTTTACTTTAAGGATTCTGCTTCATCATCTTCACTGACATGCTTTTATGCATTTAAAAATACTTATTTTTCTGGTATTTTATTGTAAAATCAGCAGCAGACTTGTTGGATTTGTTCTTTGTCAATGAAAAGATATAACTGCAATATGCTTTTGTAAGACTACAAGTGCAAAATACAGTTAACAATACTCTAAATGCTTGATTTTTATTTCAACCTTAACCTTATCTGTATTTTTAAAACAGTATTATGTTTTAATGTTTTATTAAAATATAGTATTATAGAATATAATCTAGTATAGTTAGAATACCTTTGATCAAACTGACACTTAAGTAATACATGCAACTAGACTTGGAAATGAGGTCAAGAGACTTGAGACTTGACTTGGATTTTTGGTCAAAGACTTGGACTTGGCTTGGACTTGCAAAAAAGACTTGCGCACATCTCTGCTATAACTAGAGGAATATCTGAATTATTATAACAGTGTGAATGTTTATTGTTGTAAGATTCTTTTCTAAAAGTTGCTGAAGTCGAATAAAAGTAGCTAAAATTAGCAAAATGAAGCTAAAGATAGCAGAAGCAAGCTGAAATTAGCAGACAGATTGTGAATGGAGAGAGAAAAATCTAAATTAGTAGATAGAGAAATAAACATGCGACCTGTCCAGGGTGTACCCCGCCCCCCACACTGTGACTGCTGGATATGAGCACCAGTGACCCCCGTGACCCTAGAAAAAAAATAAATAAGTATAGATAATGGATGGATGGATAAAGAAATAAAATGAGTACAAAACAGCAGAAACAGCACATTTGCAGAATTAAGCAGTAAGAAGCTAAAATTATCACAAAAAGGTGAATTTAGCTAAAAGTGGCTGAAATTAGGTAAAACAAAATAACTGCAGAAGAAAGCCACTGAAAGAAGCAGTTGAAATTATCAGACAAATAGGTGAAAGAAGCAGAATGGTAGCTACAAAAGCAGAAAAAAGCTAAAATTAGCCAAAAAAAAAAAGGCTAAAGGAAGCTGAAATTAGTGCAAAGAAATTAAAAAGCAGAACCAGAATAGAAGTTAAAATGTTCTTTATAGATTCAAAAACATTCTGAAAGGTTTAAAGGATGTTGAAAATGGCTTCATTAATTTTAATTAGAAAAAAATGGCAGAAAAAAAATAAATGTCTTAAAAAGTGAAAAATTTCTGAAAAAGTTGTAGCTGGAATGTCCTGAAGGAGCTGAACATTTTGTGTGGAAAAAACATACAGAAGAAAAATGGATCATCCCAATAGTGCGAATGTTGCAATATCACATAATATTGTGTCATCATGCACAATTTATTAACTCTCAGAGTATATGTTGGGGATGATTCTCTGCTACTACCACTCAGTATCTGTAAAATTGACCATTAGAACCACTTTTGTGTTTTCTACAGCCGATCTGAACCTGCTCTGCTTCCTTGTGTCAGGAAAATGAATGTTCATGTCCTTCAGTCACGCAGGAGTTCTGAGGAGTCTGCAGAGCCCGAGGCCTGGGTCAACGCTTTTCTGGGAAGGATATTCTGGGACTTTCTGCGAGAGAAGTACTGGGCCAACGTCGTCTCCAAAAAGATCCAAATGAAGCTCAGTAAGATCAGGGTGAGAAGCTGCACCAATAAACCCTTCAGTACAAAACAACAAATAAAAAAAATACTTTCATTTTATAATTCTCTTTTTTTTTCCTGTTTCAGCTGCCGTATGTGATGAATGAGCTAACCCTGACGGAGCTAGACATGGGCTTTTCTATTCCTAAGATCCTCCGTGCCTCCAAACCATGGGTGGACCACCAAGGTAGGAGGAGAAGTTACCATAAAAAAGTCATTTATTTTTTACAGATTTCAGAGTATTWTGCTATTTATTCTCATCACCAGCCTCATGCTCATCTTTCTGCTATTTGCTCTTCACCTCGGTGGATTGGGAGATCGTCTTTCTTCCCGTCTCCTTTGCAGTCTGGTCTTTTTTCATGGCTTGCAGCATTAAGCCTCAGTAATTAAACTCTACATCTTGGTTCCTTCATACTTTAATGAGACACTGACTCACACTTGAGCCTCAGCTCAGACACTCATGGAGACAAAACAAAGATCTGAGACACATTCAGTTCAGTTTAGTGAGCTGGTTTTGGGGAAAAAAAGTTAAAGAATGGAAGAAATGAGTTGTCAGAAGTACACTGTAACTGTWAGAGGACACTTTTTCTTTTTGCCTTAATTGCTCTGAACATAGATATAAATTTATTTTAATTTAAAGCAGTGTTTTCTTGTATGGAAGCAGTCAAAATGCTGAGAATGTACTTCTCATGTTTTTCAGTTGAAGGAAGCTGTGATGAGTCGTTCTGTCAGACACATTTCTACACCGTCTACAATGCTGARGAATAACATCTCAGGACATTCTGTAAAACGTAAACAAAAACAAAGTGCCTCCACGTATACAGATCACCTTACAGTTAATTGAACACAGTGCAGGTAAAACAAAGATTTTACTCAATTTTATTTAAGCAAGACCGCTAAAACTATCATCCCTTGACAAAGTGCYCATCGCTCGCTGCCTRGGGTACCAGATTTTGAAACAAAGATCTCATGTGATCTGTTAACAGTCTTAGTATGTGTTGAGGATCAGTCTCTGRAMCTGTAGACTTAACTGAGTGTGAGACATTTTCATGTTTGCTGAGTTGATTAGATGTGCTTGTACACATACATTCAGTGATTACTTTGTGAAAGCTTCACTAAAATGCGTTCACTGTTTAATAATYTATTTTGCTAACAGGAAGTTGAATGCCTTTCATGGCAGTGTGTGATAAACATTAAGGCAATTCCTTGTTGAAGRTTTAAAAGTTATTTTCTTTACAGTTCCTGCTTGATGTAAGATACTTGCTGCATTTTTGCTTCATAGTTGAAATGTTTTCAGAGTTTGGTTCATCTGCAGTCCAACAGAATTTAGCATCTGAGCATTTTTAACTACTGCGTCATAGACGTGTAAACAGGAAGTAGTCCATCAGCTGATAAGCAGAGCTGACCTTTTCTGTGTTTGCAGGAGGAAAGGTCACCTTCCCATCTTTTCAAACCAGTTAATTAGCAGGCGGAAGATTCTCGTTCATTTATAAATGAGCTGTGTTCCGATTTCCTGCCTGTGATGTAATAATTAAGACCTTTGCTCAGTCTTTATGAGCTCAGTGGAAAAAAAAAAAAAAACAACACAAACTTTTCCATCTTTGTGTCTCTTCAGGTCTGTGGTTTGACCTGGAGATGTCCTACACCGGCTCCTTCCTCATGACCCTAGAGACCAAGCTGAACCTGGCCCGTCTGGGGAAAGAAGGCGAAGGACTCGGGGAGCACGGAAAAGAATGGTGAGAAATAGTAATTCCATCAMAAGTTAAGTTTAAACAGATTAGACTTTTTTTTTTCTTTAGCAAACATCTGGATATTATATGTATGTGTCGTGGCTGATGGGTGCCTGATTATGTGATGAATGGTGGGAGAAAAATCAAGTTTTCCTGTGTTTTCCCACAATCCTTTTTAATGTTGGCTTTTCCTGCCCCCCTCTACATTTCACTAATCCGCCTTCAATCGTGGATTTGTCGAATGAATGGTGAGTTTGGGATTGAATGCCTACAACCGCCTGTCATCGAAACAATCATTTTGCTTTTTACTTTGAGCGAGCCGGTGTTGTTTCAGTGCCTGTGATTTATTTAACGGCAGTAGATTTATTGGGGAATTAGTGCTGGTGGTGTAATATTCTGTGCAAAGCTTTCCAGGCATGGATTTGCCACAGTGACGTGTTTGTGTGTGTGCTCGGGGGACAGGATAAGGCCAAGGACATACTGTCTGGCGGACAGTGACGAGGAGTCGTCCAGTGCTGGCTCATCAGACGAGGAGGATCCCCCTGACCTGCTCAGTGACAAACCCAGTCTGCCTGCCTCCGAGGGGTGAGCGCACGTCTCATTACCGCCGCATCACCACGTACATTACCTGAACTGAAAAAACCYGTCAGCGTCAGATTAATACTGATGTGCTGAAGCGGAATTTTCTGCCCCCGAGTTCCGTCCTCCACCCACTCAGCCCCACACGCTGCTGATTTAATGCATCGCCCAGTCGCTTCACGGCCCTCCCCCTCCATCGTCAGTGCTGAGTAGCAGGAGATGCTGTTATGAATAAATGATGAACCTGACTCACGGCTTGTCTCCTCCGTTTCCCGTAGCTACGTAGGAGGCCACAAACCCAGCAAGATCATGCGCTTCGTGGACAAGATCGCAAAGTCCAAATACTTCCAGAAGGCCACAGAGACGGAGTTCATCAAAAAGAAGATGGAGGAGGTGTCCAACACGCCCCTGCTGCTCACCGTGGAGGTGCAAGAGTGCCGAGGGACGCTGGCTGTCAACATCCCACCTCCCCCCACAGACAGGATATGGTGTGTAAAAAAACAATAAATTATGGGAGCTGTGAATGTGGAGAAAAATGTATGCTGGAGAACAAAACACTGCGCCCTCTACTGGTCATAAACTACAACCTAAATAATGAAATAAACTTAACATGAAAGAAATGAAAGAAGAGAAATACAAACATCAGTAGAAATGGTGAAATATACAACTGAAACCTTCAGCTAAAGAGTGATTGCCTGCTTGAATAAAAACCTTTTAGGGGCTTTGTTCAAAATTGTCATGTTTAAGAGAGTGTTGGGTCACTCTATGAGATTTTTTTAAAATTACAAAAAAGAAATCATACATACAAGAAAAAAGTCTTAACAGTATGATAATAAAAGCATACCATTACCAGAATAAAGTCATAATATTATGAGAATAAACTTCTGTTATTACCAGAATAAATTTGTAATATTATGAAAACAAAGTTGTAATATTATAAGAATAAAGTCGTAATATTATGAGAATGAAGTAATATTATGAAAACAGTCATAATATTACCACAATAAATTTGTAATATTGAGAATAACGTCGTAATATTACCAGAATAAAGTCGTA